CTAGAGAATTCAATAATTCTTTAATCAAGTAGCATATAGAGTCTTCATTAACTACATTTTGCATTCTCACTGTCCCTTCTCATACTCTACTGGCAAAGGTTGCAGATAAAATTATTAGGATGGCTAAATAAAGTAAAAGTAGTATTTACATACAAAGAAAATACCTACAGAAAACTTTAAACTCTATTATGACCCTAAAACATCTCTGGGTCATATATTTGAAGACAAAGAATTTTACACCTTATACCAAACAAGTGTTAAAAATCCATCCCAGTTCTTTCTAAGCACCAGATTCCTGAGGATAGCAGGAGCCAACAGGCATGCCTGACTGCTTGATGAGACACCAACTGAGCTCCCTCATTATTGTCTGGAAAGCAACAGAATATTTTAAAGGCACTACTTCTGCAGTAAAGAGCCCATTTAGAGTTACGTCAAGAAGAATGCAAGTTACCCCCCGAGTTATCTCAAACCCGGGAAGACTAGAAACTCCCACACAATTTATGCGAGTGAGCACTCAGCTTTTATTTATATGGTCCTCACCCATCTCCTTTTCTACAGCAACAGAAACAACTCTTGGCAAGACCCCAGCAGAGAAAGAGTCTCACAAGAATAAGAAATGGCTGTTTGAAGCCATTGGAGATTTCATTTATGGACACTGCTTCAAGAAAGAAATGCCATAAATTAACTCCCATTGTTTTTTATCTAGACAGTGAAATATTATCTGTCCAATTCTTTATTACAGTGAAATAATTTCCAGACACACTGTTCCAATGGATAAAAAGAAAAAGTTGTAAAGCCACCATAACTATTATGCATAAATAAGGCACATAAACATATTGCATTTCAGTATTTATACTGAATAGGTTTTACTTATTTGTACTTCAAGACAAGTTAAGAAAATACAGTGAACTCATCCTCATACAGTCAGTAATCTAACTCCTTAGTTCATGTATCTGATCACAATCTCAAAATCTGCATTTCTTAATCCATGTTTAACAGAATAGAATACATAACGTACGTAAGTACTCAGATTATGTATTAACCAGCTTAAATATACTACCTTACACAAATGGGAAGGCAAAAAAGAGAAATGCCTTTGCAAGAGTATCTGATATTCAATCACCACAAAGTCATTAAGTAGCAACCAAAAACACTGAGCCCATGGTTTGTCTGCAACTGTTACACTACAGAGTTTGGTATGTAAACAGCAGGCCTCCACTTTCTCAGGCAAACAAGGGAATCTACCATATACAAGAAGATGCATTTACAACATTTAATACATTTCCATATTGAACAAAAATATTTGCCTTCCAAAAAGTGCTCAAAAAATAAGCATATGCCTCACTAGCCCTTTAAAACCATTATGAAGTAGCTCATCTGCTCTATTAATGTAGAAAGTAGGTGTAGAGAGATTGTTCGCTCGTGTCGTTCCACACCTTTCCTCACCTGTTTTGTATGACTTATACCCCCAAACCCTGGCATGCTTCCATCTCTCAGAATTCTAACTGCCAGGATTTACTGAAGTTACATACATCCCGGATCCCACACAGTGGCACAATGCAGGCATTGGAGGAGAAGAACAGAGAAATTAGAGCCATGACAACACCTTCTGTCCCTTGGTTTCACCTGAAACTCAGCAGCTGTAGCCATCACAGTGACCCCAGAAAGCAGCAATGTCTGTTCATTGGCACAGGGATCAAGATCAATTAGTGTAAATCTGGCCATGTTCATACCAGCATCCAAAATGGGGGGGCTGCATATCACCTTTCTTTTCAGAACAGTCTCTGGTCTGTGCCAATTGGTAAAACTTCAGCAAATATAGACCAAAAGCATGACAGAAACCATACCAATAATTTAACAGTATAGATAACCAACCTCCCAGGTTCAGAGACCTTCCCATTATATATGGAAACATTGTCAACATTATCTTCATTCTCAGCACATGGAGCCAACTGTGGCTCACCTAATGAGCTCCTACAGACTAACTATTCATTTCACCATTGCAAAAATAAGAAGTAGAAACTATTGAATATCTTCAACATTAATTTCTGATCAACAAAAAACTCTAAAAGTTAACATGCAAAATTATAACTTAATGTTACCACAGGGCTGTGGTTGAGTCATCTGGATACATTAACTATTAGTTTCACAGCTCACACACAAAAGCTATGAGTTCCTTGAGTTTCTGGAATAACTGCAAGTCTTATTATCATCTATATGTAGTCTCAGTGAATTCACCTTAATGTAGCTTCTGCCTGACAAATATATATGGGTATATACGCACACTCTCGGATGTGTGTGAAAACATATATCTTCTGCCAGCCAAAATAACACGGGAATAAAGGCTGTTAAAGAAATTAAGAACAAGTACCAAACCCTCTGACACTCCCAAATACAATCTATTTAAAGCCTGATGGATAAGCAGGTGCCATAGGAGAACAGAAATGTACAGAGAGCCCACCCTCACCAAAGAAAACAGGGAATGTTCCGGAAGAGAAACAGCACCATCTACCGACAGCACCAGGGCACCCATAAATGACATCTCCCGAAGGACTGGTTTGGGACAGTTTCTCTATGCCACACTGTCTTAATCTAAAAGTACAGAAAATGTTCCACGAACATTTCTGTGTTCTGTGGCACAGAAATGTGGAGTTAAATACATTTTTGTTATAGTACCATTCATTTCCCAACTTGAAATTTTAGGTCCGAGCATCTCAAAGAGCTGTAAAAGATGACCAGTAGTTACCTAGTCCCTCTACTTCCTTCAAGGCTTTACCCTCTGACATCCACGTCTGACCTGATTATTTTAAATATATCCAGTGAAGTATATTTATAACCCCTTCCTACACAGCCTATTTCAGTATGTATTTCTGCTTTTATAAAATTTTGCTAGCACTCAAACCAAACATTCTCCTGACACTTAACATCTGTTTTCTAATCCTGCTAAAACTGCATTCTCCCATTCCTTTTTAACAGCCTGTTACACACATGGCTCCCACTCCTTCTCAGTCTTATTTGCTTAACAATACCAATTTTTTAGTCATTTTCCACTATCACAATTTACAGACTATCGTTCTTTGCTCTTCTTTAAACTCAATCAGGTTTGTCCATGTCATTATCTAAAGCCACAAAACTGGATACAACAGTTCAGCTTGGCCTTTCTAATAAGAGATAGAACATTAGCTCATTTACACTGTGTGCAATAACAGGTTATGAAGCTCATAAAGCCCAGCTAAGGTTCGTATCCAAAAAACCTACTACCGTTTCCTTGACTGTACAACTTATTTTCCAACAAGAAAAGAAATACCAGACTCTTCTGTTCTCGAGAAGTTAATATTTACTGTTACTTATCTCCCCATCGGTACCTTTTTCTTTCACCTGGTTATTTCACCTGGACTTCTTGGGTTGATTATCTACAATCTTTGAATCCAATTTAAGTTTAAAACATGTTCCAAATACCATAAATTAAAATCAAAATACTTTCTTTCCATCTCTGAAAAACAAGAATTTACTTCTCCTCCTCCTCTGTTGTCAGAACGTAAGACACCATGGTGCATGGTAAGAACACCATGCTCTGTCTGCCACTTACATCTTCTGCCAAAAGGGTCAAATGCCCACTGCCCACCTGCGGCTTTCTGATAATCTTTAGAAAATAGTCAAATTATTACCACAAAAATCTTCCACACTGAAGATCTGCTAAGATCTAAGAGCAAGATTAGCACCTGAGTACTTTTTACTGACTTTTTTTTCTTACAATTACTATCTTTGAATTAGTTAGTTTGCCACTGAGTTTCCAGTATATGGCAGAGAACTTTTCTCTCTTAAAAATAAAATTTGATGTCCACCTCGGCAAAATGAGACAGAATCTCACTTCTATAGTAGTAATGCATTATATATAGGATATAGATTTCATCACCATCACTTCACATTAGTCACCTTATTCACCTGTTACACAGCTAATACGAGCAGGTCTGCACTCGACAGTACATCGTCTTGTGTCATAATTTAATTAAAAACGTTTAAGTTCTAAAAAGCATTAAGAATCACTGGGCATAATCCATCTAAGATTAATTCCTGCCTATTTATCCAAGGTTCGACAATATTGACCAATAGAGAAAAACAAGTATATTTTTCCGAGAAGCAGCAAAGCAAAACACCCCTATGAAATCTCAGCAAGCCCTCCACTCACTTCAGTGGAACAGTAGCCTCTCTCCCTGACTTCACAGGCAAACATACTCTCTTTCAACCGAAAACAAAAAAAATCAACAGCGTGAATAATCTCAAACAAGACACTTGCCAAGCAACTATGATTTGGCTATTTAGGTTTGGTAACTGGAGAAAAACTTTCAAGTTTTAAGAATTTGAAAGGAAGCGGAACATGAGAAAACACACTGATTGGGTGTTTTTCACTGTCAATTGTGTCGGGTTAAAGTATTTAAAAAGAAAAGCTGCAATCAGTGGTAGAGTAAAGACCTCTGGTGATGGCATTCTGGGTAGAAGGTGCTCAATACTGCATTGTCTTACAGGTCTTACAGGAGATAAGCTGCTGCTGTTTTGCATCCTTACTGAAAGAACTCAATATTACAAACACTAATGTTTGTATTTAGAGACAAAAATTCTTGTTAGACTTCATTAATATACAAACACGATAAAATAATATGGATAGATGAATATGGCACTTAATTACATGGTTTAGAGATGGACTTGTCAGTGCTGGCTTAATGGTTGGACTCAGTCTTAAAGGTCTTTTCCAACCTAAACAATTCTATGATTTTCTTCTCAAGCATTTGAGACTGAGAAAATCGGTCAGTGTAAAGATAGAGTCAAAGTAAAAGGCTAGGAGCAAAGCCTGACTGAAGCATTAACTTTCCTCATGACGTCAATTCTTGCACAATACATTGATTTTTTCTGTGCGAACCCCTAACGAAGGTCACGGTTTATGAACAGATATTCACACTCAGGGTTTTTTTTAGGTTAGAGCCACGCGCAGGAAGTCGTACCTCATGTGCAGGATGCCAATGAGGGTGGCGGCAAGGTCGGAGGACATCCTGCCCATGATGCAGCAGCGGCTGAGGCAGGCGAGCAGGCTGGCAGGTAGGCAGGGCAGGAAGTACACCAGCTGCACCAGCCGCCGCTGCGCCTCAGCGGGCAGCAGCACCAGCGTGCCCTCGAGCGGATCTGTCAGCACACAACACACACACAGAGTCAGCACCACGCCAGGACACACCACCACTGCCCTGTCCAACTTCTCTGAGCTACTTGCCAAAGGGAAGAGAATATAACCAACACCGAAGAGAAAAAAAAAGGAAAAATATTAAAGCAATACTAGCCTAGAAAACAGGAGGCTGGGGGGGGACGGGCTTATTGCTATCTAAAACTACCTGAAAGGAGGCTGTGGCTAGGTGAGGGTCAAGTCACCGTTTTCTCCCAGGTAACAAGTGACAGGATGAGAAGAAAGGGACTTAAGTTGTGCCAGGGGTGATTTGGATTGGATATTAGGAAAAATTTCTTCACTGAAAGGGTGATCAGGCATTGGAACAAGCTGTCTAGGAAAGTGGAGTCACCAGCCCTGGAAGTGTTCAAAAAATGTGTGGCACTCAGGGACATGGTTTAGTGCAGACTTTGCAGTGCTGGTTTACTGCCTGACCTCTATGAACTTAGAGGTCTTTTTCAACCTAAATGATTCTATGATTCTTTGATAGACTGGAAACATTAGATTTTGTGTATCAGATTTAAGTCCTGCTAACTTGAACTAAAGATCTGAATCTTTTTAATATCTTTTAGTAAATGACATGCATAGGTCATTTTAACCTTTATTACAGAGGATAAACCCATCTCAAACCCCCACCCACAGTCTTGATGTTCACCTAGGAAATGGTAGGATTTTCCATGGATTGCAACCTCCCTGTCAAGTGAGGGACAAAATTCATTATGCTGTAGTGTAGAAGTCTTACCGTATATTCGAGCAGCAGTGGCTTGTAAACTTTGCAATAATTCCTTGTTTGAACGAGAAGCAGCGGAATGAATGATATCAATAAGTTGATTGGAAAGCTCAGGGTTTCTCAAGCCAAGCAGAGCCAGTTGCTGAGGTAAGCCAGCCAACCATCGAGACAAAACTTTACTTCGACTTCTAAAGAAAAAGGGAAAAATAATAAGACAAAACAACAAAACCCCCACAAACTTCTCTTTCAGTCTTGAGTGAGTTGCTTTTATTTATCCTTTCTGGCTCAAACTGAAACAATCATATAGATCAATCCTATCTTTCATGGGCTACAATTTCTCTGCCACCCTGGCCTATCAAATCAAGCATCATTTATAAATCAAAAGCATTTAATCAGCTTATTACTAAGGGGATAATTACAGGAAAAAAAGCTGCCAAGCACAAATCAGGAACTTCAAAGTAGGTCTCTGAAGATGTCAACAAGAGTAACATGATGACGATGATACAAGTTTATTTCCCTTTCAAAAGACCGGACAAAATCCTCACCAGAACTTTTCAAGGAAATTAAGTAGCCATGACATAAGAGGGAAGGGCCTTTCATAGAGATATGAACTGTTCAACAGTACGAAAAGCCTGGAGAACAAACAACTGAAGTGGGTGAGCTGGAGGTGGGCTCAGATGTCTCGAATCACTTGACATGCAAATAGTGTAAAGGAATAAAACATTTGCTCTTCTTCCTACAGAAGAAAGCAGGTGCTGGTATCAAATGAAGCTAGAAGGAGCCAGGATCAAAAACAAACAAAAGGAAGTTGGTCTTCAGACAGCTAAGCTTTGTCACACCTCGACAGAGGATGCTGCAGTTGCACTTGATTTAGACCAGTCTAAGGAATAATCAGAAAAACTCATGAAATAGACACCCAGTGAGTGATACTAAGAAGTCCCGAAGTGTGGAAGTACAGGCTTCAAATGGTTGGAAGCTTAGAGTACTATGGACAAGTAATTCTTATCTTCTTCCTATAGCAAGATACTACCAGTATAGATACCCATATGTGCACACACCCACACAATATATGCATATATACACACAGTGACTACACATGTGTGCAGTGATTAAGGGTTAAGAAAACTAAAACATCAAGAAAAAACTTAATTCTGAATCTTGTAATAAATTAAGGTTTTTGTCACAAGGCAACAACAGATCAAAAGCTCAGATCTTGTCTTTGAATCAGATACACCTAAAAAATAAACACATTCACACAAAAGTTCTTGGAATATGCTCCAACATGAATTCTGTTCCTCTTAGACTGCTCTTGACAAGCTTGAGAAAAAAAAAAAAAGAATGAGGAGAACAGTCACAGAAGGGCTGAAGGAACTGTGATGTCAAACTGAATGGAACAACATGAACATCATCCAGAATCCACAGAACAGACCACATTTTGAAGAAATTAAAAAAACCCCACTTGTTTCTAAAGGAAAGAAATGGATCAGTACTGTACACAAATATTGTCTTAAATTGTTTTGTCAGACACAGGTGTAACTATATTTTTTTGCAAAAAATTTTTGAGATTTCACTCTTTTGTTACTAAAAATATCACAGTTCCATGTAGAAGGTTAAGAGGAACAGCAAGAAAACTACTGCTATTTGTGATGTCTAAAGATAGAAAGTTAGAGCTATCCAGATAATCACATGAAACTGAACGAGATGCTCAAGACTTCCAGGTAAGTACAGAAAACAGCAGTTATGTAACCCCCGGGAAATTAGTCAGTATGAAAAAGATCTCTTTTTCACTCTAGATGAAAGGAGAAAAATAAGATATTCCCAAGGTTTTTTCTCTATCTTTTGAATTCCACAAGCTTTTTATAATGTTCAGAGCATAGTTTTGGATATTTCTGGCTGTAGATCCAACTACATGTAGGCAGGCATTACCACAACATAAGATACAACAAAGCAAAGAAGTTGCAGAAGTGAACGACTTTCCCAAAGCTTTACTGTGCTAGTGGATGGCAGGACTTCTGGGAGTCCTGACCTTTGATATTTTTACCTAGTAGCAGAAACAGGTATCATGGGTATGATCTTACCACATGCCTCAGAAAGTCAACTGTGTCCTGGGTTGCATCAAAAGCAGTGTGGTCAGCAGGTTGAGGGAGGTGATTCTGCTCCTCTACTCCATGCTGGTGAGACCCTCACCTGGAATACTGCATCCAGCTCTGGGGTTCCCAGCAAAAGAAGGACATGGACCTGCTGGAGCAAGTCCAAGGAGGCTATGAAGACCATCAGAGGGCTGGAACACCTCTCCTACAAAAAGAGGCTGAGAGAGCTGGGGTTACTCAGCCTGGACAAGAGAAGGCTCTGGAGAGACCTTAGAGCTGCCTTCCAGCGCTTAAAGGGGACCTGCAACAAGGCTGGAAGGAAATTTTTTCAAGGGCCTGTAACGATGGCTTCAAACCGAAAGCAAGAAGGTTTAGATCATCTATTAGAAAGAAATTCTTCACCGTGGGGGTGGTAAGGCACTGGATCAGGTTACCTAGAGAGGTTGTGGATGCACCATCCTTGGAGGTGTTCAAAGCCAGGTTGGATGGGCTTTGAACAACCTGGTCTAGTGGAAGGTGTCCCTGCCCTTGGCAGGGGGGTAGATCTAGATGAACTTTAAGGTCCAACACAAACCATCCTTTGATTCTAGGATCTCACAGCCCTTTGCAGTTCCCAAACAAGCTAAGATTGATGCAGCCTGATTTGTGTTTAAGGTTTTTATGTAGCTGGAACTGGATGACTTGGCTGAAAAATACCTACTGGAAAAGTTAAGATTTGGAGACAATCTGGACACATCTGATTATGAAAAAGTGTTATAACAGTAATATAGAGAATGATCTTCTCTTACTTGAAGCAAGACAGATATCTAATAGATGCACGAAACTGGGAGCCCAGAACGACAACAACACTTTTTCTTAAACCTAGTCTCTTTGGAACCACACAGTCAAAACAACAGAATACTTTTCTCAGAGAAAATAAGTACAAAAGGCTAGACAGGTTCTACCAGAACCAGCAAAAGCACTAAGTCACAAGTCCATGACCACAAGCTGCAGTAGTGGAAATGCTCTATGGCTACAGCTGCACACTCTTGACACATCTACTGACCACCACACAGCCAGAAACAATAAGCATGCAGCTGTGTACTTCCAGTTAAATTTTCATCATGAAGATCTATCTAGTACTTTAGCAAAGACAGATAACTAAGATAATACACATGTCCATCTCACAGAGTAACCAAACTTTCAAATTTCAGTGACACAGTGTCAAAACAGATTCAAAATGAAGTTTTATAACATCTACATACAAATTCAGTATTCTCACTTCTGAAATAAATATGCTATTTTGAAATGAAAAAGAGTATGCAATTTTTTTTTACCTGATTCTTTGACTCCTCAAATCTTCTTTTTGGTAAACTCTGCTAAAAAATTTCAAAAGCAATGTACGAACTGGAAAGAGGAGATTCCTTTGCTGGTATAGTGTATATACTGCTTTTATCAAGGGTTCTGTTGCCACTAGAAAAAAAAAGTATAAAAATCTGAAGTAGTAGTTCTTAATCTTCTGACTTTATACATACATAGAAGAGCTATTTTTATCTACAGCTGTCTACATTAAACTCCAGAGGGAAGTACCAAAATGACTGAATTCTAAACCATTGAAACACCATCTTCTTGTGTAGCTTGTGAAGGAGCCAGACAAAAGAATAGAGACAACGTGTGAGTGAAAACTTCAGAACTTCTTGAAGACAAAACAGTGCACAGGTTTGCGTGGTAGCTGAGAACCAACAAATTCCTGCTTTCCACAGCTATCTCCACATCCTTTTCCCCTAGTGCAATAACCTCCCAACAATCTTCGCTTTACTCCTCACCTATGCTCCCCCAAACCTCACTGTCACGGTGCCTTCAGTTCTCTCTGTACTATCCCTTTCTTCCTGCTATACACACTAACCTTACTAGCTCTCCCAGCTGGCTCCAAGTTACTCTGGCTAATTAATCAGAAAATACGTACCTCAAGAGGCCACTGGCAAGACACTAAAATTTTTTTTTTATTGTAATGGCTCATTTTTAATTTTGCATTGTCTTCTAAAAAACACATACCCTTCCAGGCCCTTATATTCCCCAATGTCAGATAGGTTCTAAACAAATTAGAGTTAATTTTTTTGCAGTACCATCTGACAATACAAAGTACAAAATTTCTAGAGCACCATCAGAAAAAAAAAGGAAGTGTCTTTTCCACAGAATCACATAATGGTTGAAGTGGGAATGAACCTTGAGGTCATCTGGTCCAACTTCTGAATATCTTCAAGGACAGCATTTGGTCACCCTAACAGTGAAAAGTGTGTTCCCGATGTTCAGACAGCACCTCCTGTGTTTCAGTTTGTGCCCACTGCCATTTGTCCTGTCACTGGCACCACTGGAAAGAGCCTGGCTCCCTCTTCTTTGCACCTTTGCTTCAGAGATCTACATATGCTGATGAGAACCTGAAACTTCTTATCTCCAGACTGAACAGCCCCAGATTTCTCAGCCTTTCCTCACAGAAGAGATACTCCAGTGTCTTCATCATCTTCATGGCCCTTTGCTGGAATCTTTCCATATATCCACGCCTCTTTTGTACTGGGGAGCCCAAAACTGGACACTTCAGGAGTGGCCTTACCAGTGCAGAACAGAGAGGCAGGATCACCTCCCTCAACCTGTTGTCAACACTCCTAATGCAGCCCAGGACATCACCGGCCTTCTTTGTGCAAGGGCCCATTGCTGGCTCCACCTGGTCCTTTACTGCCAAGCTACTTTCAGCTGGTCAGCCCCCAGCATGTACAGGTACATGCTTGTTCCCCCTCAGGTATATGACTCCACACTTCTCCTTGTTGAACCATGAGGCCATTTTTCCAGCATGTCAAGGCTGTATTTTCTCTCCAGCTAGTAGATTAACTGTAATCTGACATCTGGTCAGGTTTTTAGTACTGCACAAGGATTATGTTGAAGGGATGAGATAAACCATTCACACAAACAGATAAGAGATTTGTGAGATAACCAATTTCTCACAGGAGAAACCTTTACAGGATCAGCAGAGAAGATCCATACATATTAATCTTTCACAATTTAATTTAAACTCTTTTTAGTGCTTATTTATTTTCTGGATTCCTGAGGAAAATTATTGCACTAAAATGGCCAGTTGGGGTAGAAAAACACAAGCCATTATCTACTACTTGGTAAAAGTTTGGCTGACAAAGTTAAAAAAAATAAATCAATGTTTCATTACAAGGAAAAGCCTGAACTATCTGATTTAACAGTCTTAACAATAGTTTGGAAACTGCTCTCTTGAGTAGCAACTCCTCTACCTTAGCTCAGCTAGTGAGAAAGGCTCTGACTCTCAATTATTATTTCCCTTCAACACAAAGCTAAATTTGAAGTGCAGATAGGAATGATTAGTTATTATCTTTGTCACCAGGGACATAGGAATAGACAGATTCCCAATTAAAATGGATTTGGAAGGACTGACTGCCAAAATACATTTGAGGGATATTTGACATTTTTCATCTTGCAACTCTAACAATGAAATCTGTTGCTAAGGGCAAAGCATTTTCTATAAACTATTTGGTTGTGTGGCTGTGGAATTCACTTCTATCAGACTGGTAAGACAAAAGACTACTGCCACTTTTAAATTTACTGAAAAATTCCTTTCTTAAAGAATTTCTATTTCAACCACTTAATAGACACGGTCTCATTCGGAATATAGCCAAGTAGTACTTAAAAAGAAAGAGGCAAGCCAAAATACTGTACTGATCCTGCGAGTCACAGCTGGAAATATTTTCTCTTGGAAAAGGATTCAGATCAAATACCTTGGAAAAGATTCAACAGCAACTTCCATCAGAACTACCATGGCATTTTATACCATCAAAGAACTGGAATGGTCATCTGACAGTACTGAGTCTACCAGTTAATGATTTTAAAAAAGGTTTGGGCTATTAAAGTATCATGCATCTCTACATCCTAGTAATTACTTCTTCAACATAAAGCTCATCTTCCCATTTATAAGAGTATCTTCAGAAGTAAAAACAGGAAACAGGTACAAAAATATATTCACACTTTGCTTATCAACAGTATGAGAGCACTCCTAAAAATAAAGTTTTCAATGCTATACACACAGGGATATTACCATGAAATTCAATTTACCTCTATGACAAAATACATTATGATGTAACAACTGGGGATAAGCTGCAGCGAGCTGAAAATGCTAGAATAATTCAAGCTCTTTGTCAGTGCATAATTTTGTTTTTCAGAAACTATTCATCTTACCTTTGTTTTGCTGTATCTGCATTAATCTCCAAGTCACACCAAGCAATCTGTTCACCTGTTTGCTATTCAGCTTGCTGCCATCCTGAAGAGTATCTGTCACAAATTTCCTTATCATGTCCAGCCAACCAGAGTCTGTCTGAAGAGTTGAAGTGCTTGCTAGCGAAACCATTATGTCACACAAGGTTAAGTTCAGTAAAAGATGGTCTACATTGTTTGAGGATGTCATACAGTTCTTGTGGCTAAAGGGAGGAGGGGGGGGAAACAGAAATATTTCAAAAAATTATTTTTGAAATAAAAATGGACAGCAGCTGATACCCCTTGTGCACACACCAGTGTTCTACACAGACTGCAAAGGTGCAGAATTATTTCAGAACACACTTTCCATGAATATAGTCTCACATCTGGGAGCTGAGAGGGGAGACAACCTGCTACTGGCCTGCACAAAAACAGAATTGGTGCATCTACTCTGATAACTCAACAGTGAAAAAATGTGTAAGAGTCTGGCTTCTCCTGTTCCAGTACTGCTTTGCCATATAGGAATACCACAGTGTGTCCCATCTCGCCTCCTAAGTGTGTTTACCCAGCCCTGTAATGCAACACCAGAAGACTGCACATGAAAAAAAATGACTGAACTATGTTTTCATGTAATTCAGCAGTCAACTGAAGAAAACATGCAGAAATAAGAAACTAGTTAGACTAACACAGCCATCATTCAGTAATATGCAAATTCCAGATCAAGAGTTCAATAAAAGAACATATACAAAAAAAAAAGACTTCAATAATTTCCTCAAGGCAGCATTTCAGTTTCTACTGGAGGCTATTCAGATGACTTCCTATACAATACTTTTATAAAGAACAACCAAAACTTTCCAATTGAAAGCAATGCTACCTTCCTATAAAAACTTTTCTACAGATCTTCAACCAATACACAATAAAAAGTTTTCTTTTCCAACATTAAAACCTTGATACTCGATAAAGCATATGACTCACATTGCCTCAGTTCTCTTATGAAATTAAAAGCTGTTACATGATGTTGATTTTATTCTTACCCTTTGAATGATTCTTTCTTTTTGTGTTTTACTGTTTCTTGTACAGAATAAGGAAAATGACGCATGAAGTGGTGCTTGAAATCAACAAGGTAATTCATTCGAAGCCATAGTTCCTGTTAAGGAAAGCAGATGATAGACAGAAAACATGGTAGTAAGTGAAATACATCAACACAATTATTTTCCAAAATCCATTACTGGAATGAATAAAAAACAGGAACATCAGCTTCTGTTTCCAAATTTTATACATATATTTATTTTCAGATGCAAATGTGAAGTCCTGTGCATGAACCCACAGGTCCACAAAACAAGGGAGTGAAATGATGATGTAAATTAAGCTGAGCAACATTTAATCCCAACTGGACCAGTATATTTTCTTAATGTAGATATATGCAATACTAAACTCAGTTACAGATGTGATTTGAAAGTGCTTTTGTATCAATTTATCAGTACTTAAAATCACAGTGAAATCTGATTAATTTGCAGTGACTGCCCTGAGTTTTCCATTAAGATACATTCCAATACTGCTTTTATCTTTCCCCACCATTTATGTACTTGTACTTGAAAGCCCACTGACAAAACATTTTTCAGTAGAAAAGCTATCCTTACAGAAAAAGGATTCAATATTTTAAAACAATTTTACTTCGTGAGTTAGCAGACACTCATAGTCACCATTCTACAGTGTCCAGCAGAATTCACTTAAAAAGCCTGCATTGCTATCAAATTTATCAGGCAGAATAATCTTTTAGATATTCGACTACTAAGAACAGAGGATGGCCATTAAACTATTTCAAAAATCAATAGCTTTCCAATAAGCATATTCAGAGTAGTTTTCCACTTTGGCCTGTAAGCCCAGGAGCTATTAAATAAGCAAAGCTTTTATTTCAAAATTGAGCCACTTGAATGTATTTTGTATATAAAGTTCACTATAAAGAAAAAGACAAAATAAGCCATTTATCTTATCTAAAATGAAATATGCTCCACAAAAACCAAGTTGTATGAACCTCAGAATTTTTTTCCCTCCTCAAACATCCTAAGGTTATAACTCAACTGTGTGTGTATCCAAAACAGTTCACATCTTGACACAGGAGCACGTCTTTCATGTGACCAGAATTCAGGCACTCTATGGCCAAGGGCATTAGCTCTGCAGTATCCTTAAGAAAAAGGTTGGGGGCAGTAGTCTGCCATAGACAATTACCTGGCCAAGTCCCTGCCTTTTGCCTGCTTCCAAGAGGCCCTCTAGAAAAGAGGAAAAGGAACAAGGGGAACAGCATATTTTGTTCAGACACGCTGAACATGTATGTTCAGACACACTCAGGCCACATATGTTGGGTAACTTTAGTTTAATGTAATGATTTCACAAATATTTTCCAATAAGCCATCTATGTGTAGCTTTTTGTTTAGCAAAGGAACCTACAGTTGTACACACAGGTAAAGTCACGAGTTGTCAAGACATTCCTTCCAACTACTCTCAGTAGCCAAAAAGGAAATCATGTTCTCTTTTCAACATGCAAAATCTTTGGAAGAACAGCAAAAGTTACTCTCCCCCCCAAAAAAAAAGGAATTCATTTATCAGGGTAAAAGACAGAAAATAACTAGGTCAAAAAACTTTTCCAAAATGCTTATTTAGGTTTTGATTTGATGTCTTATGATCCTACTAATCATGACACAGCAACACAAATTGCACCAAGCAATTACAGGATCTCACACCATCTTTACTCCTAGCTTTCCAACCATTTAGGGTTTGTTCATTTCCACCCACACATAAAAAAATGTTTTAACACATAGAAACAAGGAACAAACAACTCTGTTCTACATTTTGTTCAAAATTATATTCTAGAGGTTATCTGGGAGACAAAATGCTCCCCTTCTCCAATATCACTTACAATTTCAAAAGCTTTTGTGCTGCAGTCTGTCAAGGAGGATTCCTGGAGACTATAAGTGAACTCATTGCTCAGTTCAACAGATTCTCTTCTAGAGTAAGAGACTTAACAAAATCCAAATTCAAATTCTACTCAACACCTAGGCTTTTTCTCTCCTAATAAAGTATTTTCACTGCTTCCAATCACCAAACCACTAGTCCCTAATCAAAACAAAAAGAACTGTCATCATTATGCCCCGGATCATTTCTCCCTTACCATTTTGCATGTTTCATCGTGTCGCTTTGTGAGCTTCCACAACAAATGGATTATACTAAGCACTTGCTGCATAAGCTGCTGAGATTCTGATTCCAAAAGGTTTCCAAGAATGGGAGCTGATTGTGCAGGAGATGCTTCAATCCAGCACTCAATCAGTAATGGAATTATTATCTCAATAAAACTTTTTAAGTTTTCAGCCGAGGACAGGCCTTTTTCTGCACTGTCCATTACACTTGTCAGAGACCTAAACAACAGAAGCAAAAAAAGATAAAAGATAAAGATCACACCTCCAAAAAAAAATTACAGTAATACCACTTCCCTGATTTCTCAATAACAGGAAAAATTACTTTCTTAACACATTAATTTTCTTGCTGGCTTTCTTGCTAGATATTTCAGTATGGAAGAAAGGGAATTCAAACCATTTACAACAAACCTCCCCGGTTTCTCTGCAAGTTTGTGGACCTCTGTAATAACTTCTTAGACTTCAGTATTTCTTTCCCCATTGTTATATGTAAAGTCTATTAAGTGGAGAAATATGATTTGCATTATCATATTACCTTCAAGCAACAGGCAGGAATTCACTGTACTCAGCACAACAAAATATAAAAAAATCTTCAAGCTCCTTAAAGCAAAATAATGAAACTGACTAGAAGGTTTTGGCAAATGCAGGAGGTTTATTACAGGTCATAACTTTCTCCAGCTATAATAAACACAATGCTTTTCATATTAATAGGGAAAAAATATTTCTGCAAAAATATAACTTTGGTTCCGACCTGATGTTTAGCCATAATGCTCTGGAAAGCAACTAGATGGAAAATTATTAGAATTATCGGATAAGATCATTTAAAGACATTAAAAAAATGAAGATATAGTCTATAATAGTTGTGATTTTTTTTCTAATTCATAGCAGGGAATTCCTATCATAACACACATAAAATTGGTACACTGAGCCTCCTGTTAAATTCCTTTCTATTTCAGTGTTCTCCAAGTGATTTTTCTTTACATATACACTCAAAATAGGATCTGAAAACTATTTGCTTTCTTTATACAGACATGCTGAGAAATTCTGTTTACAAGTATTTTAATTTCATATTGGATTGAAGGAGGTAAAGCAGTTTTCCAAACTCATCCTGTCATTTCTAAATTATCCAATTAGTTATATCCTTCTATGAAGCTACATTTCTCATGTTGTTGCAATCATCTACAAAATGCATGTAAGAGAAAATTTTATTCTGTCATTTCTCTCCGGTTGAAATTGGTATCTCAAGAAAATGACTAAAACAAAAAAACCCCTAGGTTTTAACAAACTGTAAAAGGTGAAGGAAGAAGGAATAAAAAGAAAGTGTGAGATAAATACAAGCTCTTTTTCAATGCAGGCAAGATAGGAGAGAGAATTTAAAGTTCCACAAAATAAATGGACAAGCGAAAACATAACTGGTCATAAGAAAAAAAATATTGTTAGTACTTACTACAACTATCAGCTATCTTAATATTTTATAAAGTTTAGCATTAACTGCAGCAACCAACATATCTAGTAAATTTAAATCAGTTTATTTGTCCCTTTTTTGTTGCTTTATGTCCTTTCTATGCTGCAGACACTGCAACAGACACCAGTTTCTTACAGTAAAGAGTTTAGGACGAATGCTTCTATCTTACTTTTTAACTCTCAGTCATCTTAAGACACAGTAGACCAATCCCACCTTCCAGTTATAACCACAATGAATTCTAAAGCATCACTGGACAAGCCAGTTGATGCTAAGACTATGATCTCATTGAAAAAGTGCAGTTGTCCTGTAAATGCTATGCCATGACAGGATTACACACCCAGCTGAGAGTCTGAAATGTAAGTAATTGGCTGAAATGGCTCTGAAGTAGTAGTCTTTCATAATTTCTCCACAAAGAATACCTGATATTACAGCAGAACTCTGGAACTCAAGCAATCTATTTCTGGAACACAAAAATCTCCCCATTAAATAGTGAACAGGGCCTGAAACCTAAGAAGCTGGCAACACCTGAAGGTTGCTACAAAAGTGTAACACACACACTGTTTCAGTACTTTTCTGAAACAAGTAATGGAAAATGGAAGAATTCATGCCAAAAGAGATACTCCCTCCCAGCTGTTGAAAGCATTTGGGTAAGAATACTTAGCTCAGTTTTCATGCACTCTTGAAAAAGAAGCCCCTATCTCCCAAGATAAGACTATGCCACACATTCAAAGTTAACAACAAAAGTGGTAAATAAAATCTAAGTGCCAGTAACAGATGATGACAAAATATATAGTAATCTATCCAGTATTTATTTGATCAGTACAATATCCTTAGCAATACAGGTTCACTGGAACTGGGAAGGTTTGATGTCAATTAATCTTTTTGTCATGTATCTATTATCACTATTCTTTAACAGTAAGGTGGCTCTTAGAAACACTACAAAGCATATTAGCTTCATATCAGTATGAAATACTATTGAGAGGGGCTGCAAAGTGTTTGCATACCCCTTAAGATGTAATTTTTCTTTAAAATGCCACTACTTTTATAAAGCAGGACCAAACAAATGAAAAACGCGTAAAATATCTGTCTTTTGACTAAGAAGATAAAAATTCAGCAAAGCAAAGTCGAGAAAGTGTAAAAGAAACAGAAAATAAAGAAACAACTTGTTGTTCCTTAAAACAGGAAAAGTAATTGGAAGTTCGTAAGTTTTTGTGGCTTGCAATTTAAGCCAGGTTACTGTCCTTCTTTTCTGTGTGTACTGCCAATTGCAGTAAACACAGTACACCAAGTGGACTGCATTTTCCATTTCTATCTGATGTACACGTCACACCATATAGGTATTGAATATGCTTCCATTTCGGTCTCTCAAGTCTTTGCTTTTCTCTCCAGCCTCCTTTTGCCCTTTCTTAGCAGAATCTGAAGGTCTACTGTTTCTCTCCAGCACCACTTCCAATCCAAAAAGTTGTGAAGGCTTTCCATGTTTCCACACCTGAAATGAGTTTGATGCAAAAACAGCACAGTCAGCACATAATGCAGAGGATACATTCTAACAATCTCCTAATTCACTGCAATTTTAATTTACACACAGCAGGAAGACCCAGCACACAACAGAAGATAATTAAGTCTTAAGACTCGCATCACTGAATCACCCAGCATTCAAAGCTCGGAATCGATCCTTTTTATTAAACATTAATACCCCAAACTGATTCTGAAAACCTCTTTTCATAACCACTAGATTATCAATGAGGTGTCATCCCTACCCAATGAACTTGCAAGATTAGAAAGATACAGGAACTTTAAAAATTTAGCATACTGTTACGGTGTTTGGAAGCCTACTTTTTAAGGAACAAAGTTGAAACTTACTTCCAGTATTAGTGATGAGGCCATCAATACGCACACAACACTGCAAACAGTTACTTACGACTTCTTTAAACACACACATACACACACACACACACACATTGTCTGAGTATTGCACCTCTTATTAGAACTAATTTCTGTCCTTGCAGTACTGGCCACAGCAGAGGCCTGGGAATGCCCATAAAAGGCCACAGTTGGGATTGGGAGTGAGAATTAAACATCTTTAGATTATTAGAAAAGTTTTCAGTGGCAAATACAAAAACCACCACGGCAACTTTTCACTATTGGAATTGCACACATAACCACTAAAACAAGCTGTACTGGCCCTTTGTGAAAAACAAATATAGCAAAAATACACAAAATTGCAATTAAATGCAATTTTAGTACCTTCTGCAGATGATCCTTCCATTTTCTATTCTTCTTTTCTGCTGCCATCCACTTGCTTTGCCAATCTCGCCTTGGATTCTAGCCATGTTTCCTTATATTCTTCTGGCTCCTTCTCATGCTTGCAAACATCTTTTTGAAAGTATTTATAACCAGAAGTGGATCACGACGTTTCACCAAAATCTAGTTCCTCAGAAAAGCGGAATCCAGTTCAGGTGATACCAGATGCAAAGTTTACTTTCCTAGACCTTGGATACAATGCATCTTCAGCTATTACAGGGCATGGTATATCACACACTGCATATCACTCAGGGCACAATACAAGAATCCTCTGATACACAGTGGTCCACAATTGTGTGCTTCTGACTGCAAAGATGAAGTCAATAAGACTGTTTTGTGCTCAGCACTGAACCCTTCCCCTGCCTTTAAGTGGGCTTCACCAGCCTAGTTTCCAGATAAAATTTTACCTGCAGCTGATACTGTTGGTCATGACTGAACATCTATGCTAAAAACCACTTTTATGAGAATAAACTGCACATTTTACTGAGCTTAGTATGTTGCCTATACCTCCCACAAGTAATGCTACCTACAGAAGGGAAACCTAGGAGAACAGTAATGGATGGTCATGTCTGTCTCTCCATGACAGAGGTGGGAAACACTTGCTAATTCAGGCTAACACCTGTGCTATTCAAACAGAACACCTCTCCTCCTGCACTTCATTTATTCAAAAATGTAAGATGGACATAGCAATGGATTAGGTAGTGGGGTTTATACCCTTTTTTTGCCACTGATCTCCTAGATGAATTTGGGATTGGAAGTGACAGAGTTAAACATCTTTAGATTATTAGAAAAGATTTCAGTGGCAAATACAAAAACCACCACAGCAACTTTTCACTATTGGAATTTCACACATAACCACTAAAATGAACCTTTTATTCAGTCTTCTCCAGCAGTCAAATAAAGATTGTGGTTTCTCTTCAAACCGCCTTGGTATCTACAGGTAACAGCTAACCTGCTTCCATTTTTCAAGTCATTGTTCCAGGTCTCCTACCAGCAGGTATGTTAATATCTACAGTAATGCATATACATGAAGATGCCAACCTTTAAAAAGTACCATAAAGCGGGATGGGAGGTTCCTCTCTAGCAGATGAATCAGAAAGGAGCAAAAGAAATAAAAACAATTATTTATTTCTCCTTTAACTTCAGCTCACATCTGTTTAGAGTACTACTAAAACCCACACAGACATTTCTGTCACTAAGCACACTACACTTTCTTCCATGTTCATCAGCCTGTCTCAGATGAGACATCTTTTATCCACAGTGAAGGTATAAACCCCCATGATTAAAAATATCTAGAACTGGAAATTCAGCAGAACTTCATACCACCAGACACTTCTTACCATGCTGTACTTTTTAAAAGGAGCTATAGTCAAAGAAAACAGACTTCTAAGCTTATGACAGACTCTTGAAGGTAAAAGTACAAAAGTTCAGTAAAATTCATTATCATAAACAAGTTTACATTTAATGTAAAGAAATTTGCCTGCTTGTCCCTAGGTCTGTTGGATATCCTGCAACAACCTGCAAGTAGTCAGTTTGCATTCCAAAAACACCCTAAAAGAGTTGGTCATCCAAAACTGTTACGAATAGCATAAAATAAAGCTTTTATAATTGGAAAGTTCATGACATACACATAGCACAGTTATCTGCTAGGTATTTTCAAGTCTGTGCAGTAAGACTGCACATTACATTAAAGGTCCTAAAATACAGCTAGGGGACAATCCCACAACAAATCAATTAAATTGTGATCACGAAATTGACATTAATTCCCAAATTAGTTAACATTTTCTCACCTCAGTCTAAATGACGAGTTGATCTTTGGTCGTAAGCCACCATTTTCAAACAGCTGTATATGTTGCTGATTATTTGCATGGAGCTTCCAACTTATACATATTGGGTTCCTCACAGAATGAGGGCTGTCCTTTTGCTCTTGAAGCCCTTCATCCTCTATTTCACTGGATCCATCTACCACTGCTTGGAGAAACTTTTTGAGCCTGGTAAGTACATTCAACCTCCACTGCTGAGAAGTTACTCTGCGATTTGGGTTAACAGAAAGCATCCAGGAAAGTTTGTCCCTGCTTTTCAGTTTTTTTGAGAGTTGCTGGTGAGAAATAAGCTCTACAAAATTCTTCAACAATATAACACTGCGGTCTGTAAGAAGAGCTGGGTATGCTTCCAATAAAACGTCCAAGACTTTCAATGAATCTTCCTGAATTCCCTCACTGATATGAGTCATGGCACTAGAGAGATGGGCACTTACCAAAGGAAAAAATGGAGCAATCTGTTCCGCTCTTATTTTTGAAGCCAAGAACTGCAGCAGGTGAACAGCTGCTCTTCTGACACCAGAATCTTTGTCTGTAAACACAGCTGCCACCTCACTTATTATATTGGAAAGGTGTGCATCAATTACAAATGGATACTGAGACAGGAGGTCTTTGAGTCCAAGAAGTGCATTATGCTTAACCCCAGGACTATAGTGATGCATCTGTGAAAGCAAATCCTAAAAGGAAACAAACATACATACTTGCTATCATTATTATTTGAAACTCTTTAAACTTCCCCAACTATTTCCAGCTCATTTTTCTTAAACACTCAAAAAATACGGAATCTATTCTTATGATGTACTGCTGTTCATAACAGCAAATATGTTGAGAACAAACACAGTATTAGTTTAAAGCACAGCAATGAACAAATCATCAGAATTCAATGACAGGAAAAACAAGATACTATGACTTGTCCTTCAGGTCATTAGATACTCCTCATTCTTAACTTTATGCACAACCCTACTGACTCAAAAGAGGGATGACCAAAAGTAAGTCCTCTCACTCTTGTTCTCGAAAGTAGAACTACAAAATCTCAGCCTCAACAACTTTCTTCAGTTTAAGGAGAGAGCTGCAAGAGACAGAAGACAACGCAAAGGAAGGAAAACAAAACCACCACCACCCCCCAAGAAATAAAAGATTCTTCAGAAACATCATTTCAGGAAGTCTGCTTCTTAAAACCCTGCCTTTAAGTTATGATCCAAGGGTTTCAAAAATTGAATGTTAATCCTAGACACTTATATCAATGTTTTTTCATACTAGTTTTTCATACTGATGAAAACCTTTCCCTTGGTGGTCCAGCAAACTGAGTCGTTAAATTCACGGGTCAGATTATTGTCAAGGACAACAAGGCCGTATTCAGATACCCTGCTGGAGTCTTTTTAATTTTTTAAAAATAAATATTTTTCCTAAACTCTGGTAAACCTAGTAAAGCCAGATAAATGACAAGTAATTTTCTGTAATTTCAGAATGTAATGTCACACTATACCTTGATGTTAAGTTTTCTATTTTGTGTAGGAAGCACTCCATCTTCTTTAAGCTGCTCTGGAACTTGTATGGCCTTTGTTTTGAAGGTAGTATCAGTTGCATTCTCTAGTTTAGGCTTTTTTTTCCCAACTTTAAATTTCACTTTCTGGAAATCTTCCTGACGTTTCCTTTTTTTAGTCATTCTGATTCTCTGCAAAAAGATATTCAGAATTTTAATTTGATAATATACACAACAAAAACAACTCTTCCACCGAAGAGCAGTAACTTCCTAACAAAGGTTATTGTTTTCATTCTTTTTTCTATGCATAAACTAGTGTCCACTTCTGAGACAAGATGCCAGACTAAACAGTCATGCAGACTGATTCCGTGCAGCTGTTCTTCTAGTGTCCTGAAAACATTCTGCTGCTCCTTTGGCTGTCTTTGCCTTGAGAACTAATTTATTGAAAAACATCCCCAACAAATCTGCCACATCACCTGCCACTGCTTTATCAGATTTAAGTTGCTGATTTTGGTTTTTTTTAGAAAAGTTCCTGCCAACGAAGCAATTTTTTACATAATTGATTCTTGTCAAGGGAAGGATCTCAGCGAACTGCTTCATTTCATTTGGACATCGCTTACCAAGTCCATCACTAACAGCACAGACTGCACAGGTACAATCTTGGGTTTAATCAAGCCTTCACCAATAACAGCAGGACACAAACCTAAGAAAACTTCCACTACACACTGAAAAATCCAGTCTGTGCATTTAAAAAATGATAAAAGGAAGGAGGGGGAGTGAGGGAAGAGGTTAAATGGGCACATATAGAGTAGAAAGAGACTGGGAAACAAAGTCATATTTAATAAGGCGTACGAAATAAGGTAGTCTGAGTCACTACACTTTTAAATTGTACAGATATACTAGAATGAAGGTACAATAACCAAAGCAAATTAAAACCCACATAAGATTCTAAATGTTTTTTTGGTTTTGATTCACCTGCTTTGATACTGAAATACTCTTATTTCTACCAGGTTAAAAAAAACCAAAACTTCAACACACCAAAAAGCCCCAATAAACACTACACCACAGGTTCCTTTATTTAATCTTCTAAAATAAAAAAAAACCTAGCAAAAAAAATCCCCAGTCCAACCCAAAACGCCCAACAACACAGCTGATCAAACCCAGAAATTTCTAAATTATATATCCAAAAATATATCCAAGAATTATATATTCTTTTCTGGTGGATGTGATCATTATTCACTCTAGAATTCTAGAAAATAGAATTCTACAGCTGGTTTTCCCAATGGACTTCAAGCTGAAATTTGTCCTGTATTAGAATATTTCATATAGACATCATCAGGATAATAATTCAAGAATGTTTTAAGTTAAACTGTAATTTTCTATTCTTTTAAAACAATTTAAACAACTGATTACACAAACATTTGACTACAACTTAATTTCTGCTTTTCGTATGCCATCTTAAAAAGTTATATGTAAGACCACTTTAACTAAAGTACAAATTTAGCATAAGTAACCTATCAACACAAAAGGCTTTTAAAAACTTAGGGTTGGGTGCCAAAATAAAAGGGTCCTTTAGTGTCTCAACTATAACAATTATGAGTTTAGAAGGTTTTGATTTTTATCACATGCAACTTTTAGGAAAGAGTTACAGGATTTTTCACTACTTGATATATAGAAATAGCTAGAAGCTTTTGACATAAATGTTATTTTCACTTACAAGGCCTGCTTTAATGGAGATATCTAGGAAGCCTCACTATACAAGATGAAATGTTTGGCTCCCAATTAGCATTAATAACTTCACAATACAGGTGTGCACATGCCTGAACAAAGTCAATTAAGTTCTTTTAAGGGATGAGGCTTAGAAAATATACTTCCTTCTACTAAAACAAAGCAGCACAGTTTACCTTGCAATACATATTCTGGAAATAAATTGGTAATCTAAGCCTATTCGTTTACAATTCATATGTAATACATTAAATAGAGAGACAGAACAGTTACAAAACTAAAGCCTCGCAACCACTGTGTGGAAAGACATCAGGAAAAACCGTATACAGCTGATGAAACTATGTAAATATTTTACTGAAACAACTGTTGTTTTTCACTTCAACCCCATCTCATGAGAAGTGGTTGTGGGAGCTGGGCCTGTTTAGTCTGGAGAAGACTGAGAGGAGATCTCAATAGTGCAGATGCCTAGAGGACAGTGCCAGGCTCTTTTCAGTGATGCTGAGCGCCATAAACCAAACCACAAGAAGTTTCATCTCAACATGAGGGAGAACTTCTTTACACTGAGGTGGGAGAACACTGGAACAGGTTCCCCAGGGAGCTGGTAGAGTCTCCCTCTCTGGGGATATTCCAAACCCACCTGAGCATGTTCCTCTGCAACCTGCTGTAGGTGACCCTATCCTGGCAGGGATTTTGGACTAGATGATCTCCAGAGGTCCCTTCCAACCCTAACTAATATGTGATTCTGTGTATTTTCACTTGGCTCACCTCCAACATGACTGAGCTGAGTGCTCCTAATAGTTTATGCACTAACGTGGTTTTTACAACCTAGAACATTAAAACAATTTTAAATCGATGCATGCTTCCTTTAAGATAAAGCTGTGCACGGCACTTTTTAGAAGCCACTTAAGGTATCACTCAGTCACCCAGAGAAACAGAGGAGAACCAAAAGGAGGAACTGTTTCAACTATTATTTCACTGTAGTGAAGGGTCTGGAGAAGAGGAGGCTCAGGGGTAACCTTATCACTCTCTACAACTACCTGAAGGGAGGTCATAGCCAGGTGGGGGTCAACCTCCTCTCCCAGATAACCAGTGAGAGGACGACAGGACACAATAAAAAGCTGTGCCTGGGGGAGTTTAGGGTGGACATCAGGAGAAATGTCTTCACAGAAAGGATGATGAGACATTGGAATGGGCTGCCCAGGGAGGTGATGGGAGTCACTGTCCCTGAGGGGCTTAAGGAAAGACTGGACATGACATGCCGTGGTGGTGTTCAGTCACAGGTTGGACTCGATGGTCTCAGAAGTCTTTTCCAACCTAATTGATTCTGTAATTACTTCCTCGCAGCTCTGAGGCCGTATCCTTAGGGAACCTCACTACCTTGTTCAAGCAATCAGGAAAATCCTGAGAAACCCGAAGGCAAGGCACACGCCCTAACTGAAACTCCTCCGACCCGATGCGGATTTCCCTCCGGGCGAGCTGTCTCCCCGCACAGGGCAGCGGTACTTACTGGCGGTCACCTCCCCGCGGCTCCCGCGCCGGCAGCGCATCCCCCGCCGCCGCCGCCTGGACCGCACCGCGCCGCCCGGCCCGCGCCGCGCACGCCGCGCCCGAGAGCCGGATTCTCCCGCGGGTCTAGGCCGGCACGCAGCCCTCCTCGCCGTCCCGGGACATCCTCTGGCTTCTTCCCCGAGCGCCGCTTCCCTCCGCCCCACTCCAGTCGCTCTGCGAGGCGTTCAAATAAAGGCGCGTCAGTGCCCGCCCGGCGCCGGGGAGGCCGCGGGTTGGGCTCCCGGGAGGAGCCGCCGCCGTCGCCGCGCCAGGGAACAGCCGGGGCTCCGGAGCGGCAGGAGAGGCGGGAACGGCGGCGTAGGAGGAGGGGGAGGAGGAGAAGGAGGAGGAGAGAAGCCGCCGTGGGAGGTGGGGCGGGGGCGGCGGCGCCGATGCCGCCGGTTTCCCCTGGAGCGGCTCCTAGCCCACGGCGGCCGCGCTCGCGCTTTTCCCGCCGCCCCGGAGCAGGAGCGTGCGGGGAGTGGAGCGGAGGGCGGGTGGTACAAAAGGCGGGCGGCCCTTGGCGCAGGGGCAGGGCGAGCGCGGCGGCGGCCCCCGCGGGCAGGGACGGACCGGGACGGACCGCGCCGGGACCAGGACCAGGACCCGGACTCGGACTCGGACCCGGACCCGGACCCGGACCGGGCGCCGCCTCCTCCCTCTCCTCCTCCTCCCCGCCCTCCCGCCACGGCGGGCCTCGCGCGCCGCCCCGCGTGCCGGCCGCCCGCTCACTCACCAACCACGCGCGCAGCAGCGCGAGCCCCGCTTCCGCCCCCGCCGAGCGCCACGGCCGGAAGCGGCCGCCCACGTGAGCGGCGCTGCCTCCAGCGCGCGCCCCCCGCGCCCCCGCCGGCGCGGGAAGAAGCCGCGCGCTTCCGCCACGGCCGCGTGCGCTGGCGCCACCTGGAGGCGGGGCGGTCCCGGGAGATCCCGGTTGGGGATCCCTGCGCTGAGGGAACGCACTGCGAAGGTGTACGGCTTGTTTTCTTAGTATACAGCTCTTTTTGTATACAAAAAGAGGGGAAGAGGAGGGGCAGGCACCGGTCTTTGTGGTGACCAGTGACAGGACCCGAAGTAATGGCCTGAAGTTGTATCAGGGGAGGGTTAGGTTGGGCACTGGAACAGGCTCTCCAGGGAAGTGGTCACAGCACCAACTGTGACAGAGTTCAAGAAGCATTTTGGATGATACTCTCAGGCACATGGTGTGATTCTTGGGGATGGTCCTATGCAGGAGTTGGACTGGATGATCCTTGTGAATCCCTTCCAACTTGGCATATTCTGTAATTCTGTGAAGATGTGTTTCCTTCCCATGAAGCAGGGTATGCTACAGAGGCAAGAAAATAATAACCACTACTTAGATAAGCAGAGGTCCTGTGAGGAGCAGCTGAGGGAGCTGGAGTTGTTTAGCCTGGAGAAAAGGAGGCTCAGGGGGGACCTTATCACTCTCTACAACTACCTGAAAGGAGGTTGTAGCCAGGTGGGGTTGGTCTCTTCTCCCAGGCAGCAAGCAACAGGACAACAGGACATAGTCTTAAGCTGTGCCAGGGGAGGCTTAGGTTTTAGACATCAGGAGGAATTTCTTCACAGAAAAGGGTGATTAGGCATTTGAATAAAATGCCACTCTCCAGGGAGATGGTGGAGTCACCGTCCCTGGAGGTGTTTAAGGAAACAGTGGACGTGGCACTTAGTGCCATGGTCTAGTTGACATGGTGGTGTTTGGTCATAGGTTGGACTTGATAATCTCAGAGGTCTTTTTCAACCTAAATGATTCGGTGATTCTTTCGGTGAAGGCATTCCAGAGACAGCATTAGCATTTGAGGCTTCACACTTAAACCACCAGGCACAGTTCGCAATCTGTACACTCATACCTAGATGAAATTTGCTGCTCCAAAGGGGTAATGAATTCCCAAGTTAGAAGGAGACTCAGGAAGCAACACAAGAGTAGAATGTTTCCATACCTGCCTGGAACAGATATCATCACAATTCACACCGGACAGTAACTCTGCAGTTGCATGCTTTAAACTTTTCATTTTCTGTCAGTTGACTTGTAAACAGTCTTCTCCTTTCCCTTTTATACCTTCTGTGAGGAGTAAGAGTTCTGCACTTTTTTTTGTTAAAAATCACTTCCTCAAAGCTCTTTGGTCTCTGAGTAAAATGTATAAAACTAAGATATAAAACCAAAGCTTACAGAAAAATTAATTTTCTCTTGGTTTAATTTTTCTTGCTATTGCCTGACTTTTAACTCTATTAGTTCTCCCATTATTCCAGATGTCTGCCTTGCTGTTACTGTAAGAAACCAAAATATATAATATTAAATACAGTCAACAGCAATGTTTAAGCATCATCAGTAAAGATAATGCATTTTTTCCTTACTTTGCAATACCGGCACAAGGAAAACATTAAAATCTCTTTTGGAACGAACATACAGTTTTCCATTAGTATAAGAATATACTAAGCCATCACAAAAGGAGGCAGGCACAAGAACAAAATAATACTATGCTTTTTTCAGCCTCTATTTGCACCAGGAAAAAAAACCCAAGGAAAATAATTATACAGCTGAATAAACTCTGTTAGACTGTGCTCTCTGAAAATATTTCCAGAACCATACCCTTTGTGACTCTTAGACAGTTCAGGTTTCTCATCTGTCCATTATATACCACTGTGCTACAGATTCAAGGGTCTTTTCTTTTTCAGCCTGCACCCAAGAAAACACCCACCTCAAATCAACTTAATTTTAACTCTATTTCCACTAGGAATAATTCCACAGTAAGAGGAAAAAGAAGCTGTCCCAGAGATGGCCATTTACAACAGCTGAACATTCTGATTTTATTATTTTAATTCACATAATGTTCTGCACTTTGAAAACAAACAGAAAAAGGATGTTTCTATTTTTACTTTCAGAATTCAGAATTTGAAGATCAAGGTGATCAAGTTCACCTTCATTAAGAAGGCATTAATACTGTCCCTAGACACAGAGAGTAAATGAACTGTAAGAACTCTGATTCCATCTCTGCTTGACAAGAACAGATTTAGTTGCATTCCAGAAATTCTTCACAGTTTCTTTAAAACAGTGGTTTGTGTTTTAATTTCTGTCTCAGTGAACTGTTTTCCTTCCTGTGTCTGTTCATAGAATAAAACTAATACAATTTTGTTGCTGCTTTGTTACTTTAGTTTTATTGCATCTTGCATTCCATGACATGAAGATGTGAAACCATCAGGATGAGGCTTCTCAATTCCATCCAGATCTCCAAAAAACTAAGTTAACATTAAAAGGTTCATTTACCATCTGGCTCCAGCATGTCTATATTATACCAGCATTTGGCTGCAAAGCTGAAGAGCTTTAATTAGAACAACTGAATGCTACCCAACATCACAAGCAGGAAGCAAATTTTAACTACACAATTTAACTTTAAAAAAATATTTTTTTTCTTAAGTACACTAATTTATAACCATCCAAAACTTTTTTTCACCACCTACAAAAGTAGAAGCCATTAATACAGAGACTTTTACATTCAGTCAAAACCACTAGTACTTTAGTTGAAAAAAAGCTCACGTTAAGAGCCTGAAGGACAGAATAATCCAGCTTTCATTTCTTTCTCCTACTGGTGGAAAAAAAGAAGAAAGAAGATACTTTTGCTACCACATCAGTGCCTCTTAACCAGTCTAGTTAGATCTCTTGGGACATATTCATGAATTTTCAAGCATAGCCAACTACTTTTGACTTTTTTAAAGCTTCCAGGCTTTATCTGGGCTCCCTAAATTTGCTATAATCCAGACATTTCTCAACTCAGAACTAGACTGACAGCACTGACTTTTTATTATTATTTTTAATCTTTATTTTTAAAAAAAGTGGAGACCTATTCATAACACTTATAGAGGAGAAGGGTTTTGATCACAAAAGATTTTGAGGCCCAGCAGCCACAGGGAATAACTTCTGAGTATACGTTGTAGGATTAATCCGTACTGCTGACTGCAGTAGTTAATTCTTCTGATAACTCCTTGTAAAAGAACCAACAATAAGAAAAGATCAGACTCTCAATGTACTTGATGTATTTAATGATATTGAAAAACACAAGTTGCCTGTTTTAAAAATATGTTTTACATGGAAAGAAAGAATAGGAGCTTTACAACCTTTCCATAATATATAGAAGTTTCAGCTACACGGAGAAATAAATAACAAGAATCTCAAACCCAAGTTATTAACTTCATTAAAATAACACTGTACAAAACCTACACATAATAAAGTCAACTCTGTTAAGCTCTCATTAAGTAAAACAACAAACTTACAGAAAATAAACATTGCTATATTAACTCTTTTAATCACCGTGTCACTGTGTGCTGCCGTTGCTTGGCCTCCTCAAAGTTCCACTTTCAGCCAGGATCCTTATAACATTCGGAATATCAATTCCTTAGTTAAGGGAAAAAAAACAAACAAAACCAGAAAATAAGCCATTTTATTATAAAATTCATTTAAAACCACAATTTATATGGAAACATTTAGATGCTGAGGTGAGTTTGGACCTTTCCTTCTTAAATGAAAAATACCTTAACTGTTAACAACCAAAATGTGCCTGGAAACTGTAACTGGATATTGCTATGAACAGCTGTACTAGTTCAGTTAAAGAGTCTGTCTTGCCTCTCTACCTCTGCTTTGAAAGATCTGCAGCTGATAATCAGGAAACCACAAGCAGAAGTGCTTGATTTTATCACTGTAACAATAAGCTAAAGTGTCCTCTGAACACAAGCAAAAAGGCCATGTTGCTTTGATGAAACTAATGCCCATGACTTGAGGACGGTGAGAGAAGTAGAAGAAAGATGGGGACTGTTTAAGTGGCAATAATAAACATTCAGCACCCATAACCAAGTGCTAAGGGAAGAGTAAAAGCAGGACAATTGTGCCTGACGCTTGGCAGGGTGTGGGAGTACCACGTTCTCCTCATCTCAGATCATCTTCAGCTCAGGAAATTTTCTGAGGAAAGTCTGATATGGTAAACTTTTCATTAGTGCTCTCTTCCAAACACTTGCCTGGTCTGGGCCAGACAGGGAAAACAAGGAAACATGTAAGATTTTTATAAAATCCACAGTATCCTTCTGCTAGGAGTTCCATAGATCATCCACTTACAACTGCATTAAGAACCATCTTTTTTTGTCCATGCTGGACTCCCACACTACTCCAAGTTTATATTGGAAAGAACACAGTCCTGTCTGTCATCTCCATCCACTCATGATTTTACAAATCTCTGTTACAGCATCCTAGTCATCTCTGTTCCAGGCCAAAAAGTGTCATAGCTTTCTATTGCATCTACTTATATGGAAGATATTCCCATATTTTATTGTTGTCTCTAAACCTTTTGCAGCAGTGAAGTCCTTTATCTGAAATAAGGGAAACCCTTTGCCCTATGCCAGATACAGGCAAAGCATGAGTTTATGCAATAGCAAAATGACTTTCCCCATCTTTATTTCCATTCTTTCCTTAATTCCCTGTATTGAACATATTCTTCTGACTCACAAGGTGGTACTTCCACTGATCCGATGAGGAGCTTTTGAAATTTTTCAGGTCAACCAACACTTTTAACTGGTTCAAATTTGACAAAATTTTGTCATCCAGACACTCATCCCTTTTTCCAGGTCATTTGTAAAAATATGAAACAGCACAGGTCCACGATTCTCTTCTGGAACCTCTTTTCAATGTAAAAGATAATTGCCCACTTGCTATCTCTTTATTATTTAAACAATAATAAGGATTTTCCTCTTTTCCCACAGCCAG